TAATAGCAGCTAGCTGCCTTAACAGGCAGAGATAAAAAGCTGGAGCCTCTGTGGCGATATCAAAGAGCACTTTGCATGAAATTCCACCGCTCTTAATTCAAAGAGACTTTCTCATACATTTGAATTTTCCAGCTGTGTAATCAACAAATCTACAGGACTGAGCATATGCTTTGGCAGGGCGCTTTAGAAAAAAAAATAACCTCACAAAATTGACATATGCAGCCGGCACGCTTCTCAGACTTAGCACCCTTTAGGGACTTCACCAAGTGATTTTTCAAATTTTTCTGAGCAACAGGGAGAGCCTACAAATTAGGTTTCAGTCCTTTACTTTGGTCTGGAAGTAGGGTTCCCAACCTTCAGGCCGTGGCTGGAGATCTTCCGCTATTACAATTGATCTCCAGGCAACAGAAATTAGTCCAATTGAAGAAAATGGCTACTTTGGAAGGTGAACTCTATAGCATTAACCCTGCTGAAGTCCCACCCACCCCCAACCCCTCCTCTCTTCAGGCTCCACGCCCCAAATCTCCAGGTACTTCCCAACCTGGACCTGGCAGCCCTATTTCTGGCTACCCATTTCCACCAGTTACATGGCAGTAGGAATCCAGTCCCCAGGTGCGGGCAGGGGATCCCCTGATTTTTGGGGCTCCCTCCAGACACTGGCCAGCTGCCCAGTGGGGGAAGCCCCATCTCCAACAGCCATCTGCAGCCACACTTGAAAAGAACAGGCACCATGTGCGCCTGCCCCACAAGCCGTAAATTTGCAGCTTGAAGGACAGGCATGTGGGGTGCCTACTCTGTGGCTTGCGGGGCAGGTGAGCATGGCACCTGCTTTCCCCCGACCATTTAAAGGAAAGGTTCCCTTTAAGTGGTTGGGGGGAAGTGGGGGGGGGATGCAACGCTGCATCCTTGACACATTGACATCACTCTACAAATTGATAGAGAGAGCGGTGGCAACACAGCTGCAGGCATTTCTGGATGACGCTTCTGTCCTCGATCTCCACCAGTCCGGGTTTCGCCCTGGTCACGGGGTGGAGACTGTTCTGGTCGCACTGACTGACGACCTCCGTAGGCATCTGGATCAAGGCGGAGTGGCGGCACTGTTGTTGTTAGACCTGTCGGCCGCTTTCGATACGGTCGACCACCAGTTGCTGGCCCACCGCCTTGCCGACGTGGGGATTCAGGGGCTTGCCCTTCAGTGGCTGGTCTCTTTTCTCCAAGGTCGGGGACAGAGGGTGGCGATAGGGGATCAGCAGTCCCGGAGGTGGCCCCTTGACTGTGGGGTTCCTCAAGGGGCAGTGCTATCCCCGATGTTGTTTAACATCTACATGCGCCCCCTCGCCCAGATTGCCTGGAGCTGTGGGCTGGGGTGTCATCAATATGCTGATGACACCCAGCTGTATCTGATGTTGGGCGGCCGGTCAGATTCCACTCCCAACGACCTTAGTCGGGCGTTACAGGCTGTGGCTAGGTGGCTCAGACTGAGTCGGCTGAAATTAAACCCGGCAAAGACGGAGGTCGGATCGGTTCGGGGTTGGGGCTCCCTCTCCCGACCTTCGACGGGGCGCCTCTGGTGCCGGCGTCGGAGGTTAGGAGTTTGGGAGTGCTCCTGGACTCCTCGTTAATGATGGAGGCCCAGGTAGCAGCCACTGCCAAGTCGGCATTTTACCATCTTCGGCTGGCACGGCAGTTGGTTCCCTTCCTCGACCGGGAGGACTTGGCCACTGTGATCCATGCGACGGTCACCTCAAGGCTAGACTACTGTAACGCTCTCTACATGGGGCTGCCTTTGTCGCAGATTCGGAAGCTGCAACTAGTGCAGAATGCTGCAGCCAGGCTGTTGATGGGTCTTCCTAGACGAGAGCACATCCAGCCTGTGCTGAAAGCGCTGCACTGGTTGCCTATAGCGTTCCGGGTGCGCTTCAAAGTGCTGGTTATTACCTTTAAAGCCCTATATGGTCAGAGACCAGCCTACCTGAGACCGCCTTTCCCCACATGTGCCCCCAAGAGCACTACGGTCTGGGACCCAGAACTTATTGGATGTACCAGGTCCCCGGGTTACCAAATTCGTTGTGACCAAGAATAGGGCGTTTTCGGTGGCAGCTCCTATCTGGTGGAACGAGCTCCCAGAGGAGATCAGGGCTCTGCGGGACCTAGCACCGTTCTGCAGAGCCTGCAAGACGGAGCTCTTCCGCCCGGCGTTTGAATAGGAGCCGCCACCATCACCATCATCATGCCATCATCACTATCTACGCCCTAAGCTTGTGGACAGGGTCATCGGATGTGGACACTCTGAAAGAGAACGGGACTTTTGACGGCCATCTGGTTTTAGGAGGCGAGCACCAATTACTGTTTTGTATGTATGATGCTTTAAGAGTTAATGTTATTTAATATTTTAATGTTTTTACTGTTTTACTGTATGTTCCGGCGACATGCCGTGTAAGCCGCCCTGAGCCTACGGGGAGGGCGGGATAAAAATACAAATAATAAATAAATAAATAAATAAATAAATACATGATGTCATCGTGTCAGGGATGGCCTCTCCTCTTCCTGGACCATCCCCCTAATCCCCCCTCTGGGGAGAAGATGGGACCTGGCAACCCTACACAGAAGCAAGACCCAGCAGTTGGCTAGCCACATTCCTGATCCTCCTTTTGAGTCAGGAACATTTTATTATAAAAAAAAAAAAACAACACCTGGGAGCTTGTATTCACAATTTGCAGCATACTTTGGTGCTGCTATGTTTCCTTCTGGTGTGGTAGGTCAGATACAAATAGCCAAGGGGTAATGATGACAGTGATGAAAAAGTTATTCTTCTAAGTCACTTTCCACGAGCTTTCTAAAATGAAAAAACCTTTCCTTGTCTGTAACAAACGGAGTTCAAAATGACATGTGTTAGAAAATACGGGCTCTGGGTGTGATTTATGTGACATACCTTTGGGGGGAGGTGTCTATCCTAGAGGAAGAAGATGAGGGATGAAGGGAGGGGGCATCTGTAGAAGCATGATGAACAATGAGACAAGGAAGGGAGGCGGTCAAAGAGGCCTTTCAAAGTGCGACATACTTCGTGGGAAGTCCCATAAGACGGGAGGCTCCTGTGAATCTGTTACAATGCACAGCGGGATTCAGCTGCATTGTATAAATATTTGATGATATCTAAATCATTTATGGCTCTGTCAGGGGTCATTTTACTTGTTTTAGATGAATAATTGAAAGGATAATTAGGAGGATGTACAATCTGAAATGTTCATCTAATTGTTCATTTTACAGGGTCTCTTACAAAGCGGTGCAGGATCTCAGACACACATACTCAAGCACAGGTACACACTAAAGCACCTATACAGACGCCATATTTCTTACACTTTCAGAAACACTGGGTTCGATCCAGTGCTTCTGAGAATGGAACGAGTTTGTGGAAGCAACTTTTAGGGAGCAATCCTAAACTGGTCTACTCAGAATCCTACTCAGGTGTATTCAATGGGGCTTACTCCCAGGAAAGTGTTCTCAGGATTGCACTGTTAGTGTCTTCCCATGGGAGTCCTCTGCATGCCCCTGAAAAGCCAGTAATGACAGTCAGGGGACTTCTTAAGAGCAGTACGCCATATGGCATTGGCAGAAATCTCCCTCCCTCTCTTTTGTATGACTTGTATGATCTCAAGCTCTGCCCATACAAATTCACATGTGTATGAAGGTGCGACTATTAGCTCAAAGCCAACCAAGGCTGAGCCGCACCCCTCACAATTGCTGCTGGCTTCCAGAAAATGCTGAAGAGATCCATTCAAAGATTACACCAGTGCCTTGAATCATTTGATCCCAGGTTATGGAACTGAGAATATCTTGTGCAATACTTCTTCTCTCCCTCTCCTTGTATGTTGCCAGAGGATTAGCTGTACGTACAGGTGCTATCTGTGGGCATACAATCATTATGATGAAAGTCACCCTGAAATCAGTTCTGTTTATTCCCAAATAAATGTGTTTTAGGTTGTGGTACACTGATAATAGCCAGGAAGAAGAACAGTATATACAGGAGCCAGTAAAAAAGAAAAAAGAAACATAGAAGCAACCGCAAGTTATTGTGTAGACTGAAAGAACACACATACACCAAAAATTAAACATGCCAGCAATGTCCAATGCACACAGCAGACGTGAGAGAAAGCACAGACTTAATTTTAGATTGCTTGGAGGTTTAGAAAAACATGCTGAACATTTCTATTGAGGGGAGACTTGTGCTACCTGAAACACTTGGTAAAAGGCCATCACCTTCCTTAACACAGTTCTTGTGGCACCGAATGCCTTGGGACTTCCAGAAAGCCCTCTCTGGCATAATGACGCCCTCTCACCCTCCCACAAATGAAAGGTAGAGAACTGATTAAAATTCCACTGCAGACAGATTTTGCTGCAAGAAAAGCCTATGCAGATGTCTCTGACCACAGCACAAAGCCATTAAGTTTGGATTTTTAGTAAAGGAGATGTTTCTATAAATATTTAGAAGGCCACGCTATAGCCAAATGCAACCCTCTGTAATTACCAAAAAAAGCACTAACATTTTGTGCATATGAGCCCTTGTATATAAAGGACTGGAGCTTTGGATAAAGGGAGGTTCATTGTTCTTCCCGTACATACACATGAACGGCAACTGTAAAAGCACAGAACTAAATATACTATAAGAGCTGGGGTGAGTGCCTGTGTCTCATACAAATTCTATATCAGGGTTTTGCCCCAAATGACCAAGTAGAAGGGATGATGAAGAATACGTTAATGAAAAGCACAACAAAAATGGAGATGGAAAATTGTTAGGGACATATTGCATGGGGGGAAAGGGACCAACTAACTGATCAACATATTATATCGCAGTCTAGTGTAATGGTTAAAGTGTCAAGCAAAGATCAAGGAGACCCAAGAATGAGAATGAATTTAAGGGAAGCCACTAAAAAGCAATCTATGCAGCTAACTAAGCTTGCAAGCAGATCAGAGGGCATAAAAAGCAGTAATGTAGTCCTTACCAGTTTTCCCAGTATTTTTCATCCATGTCTTGTTAGAAGATTCGTTATCGAAACCAACTAACTTTATTTCCTGGTATTCTTCTCCGACACGTGCTTGGTGGTCTACAATATCTATTGGAGACTGGTGAGTCCTCCCACAGTCCACGTTTGAAGTAACCCAGTGCTCCGGACCATATGCACCTGTTCCAAAGAGGGGGATAATACTTAGTAGTGATAACCCCAAAATAAGCACATAATGCTGAGTAAGGACACCTGCCACATAGAGCAATTGAGCTATATCTAGCATTTGGCATAGTACATCGCACCTTCAGAGCCAGCATGGTATAGTGGTTAAAAGAGTAGGACCAGTAGACCTGGCTCAAATCCCCACTCTGCCATGCAGCTCACCTTAGGCCAGTCTCCCTTTCTCAGCCTCGCATACTAAACAGAGCAGTCGCAAGAGTCAAAGTGTGTCAAATCAAGTAAGCCTCCTTGAGCTCTGTGGAGGATGGCCAGGGATGAAACAATGAACAAAACTCTTCTGTTCATTGACTTCTGTTTGTTTCTGGGAGTCCATTTCTAGAAACCCCAACTTTCACCACTACGTTGAGCAGCATTCAAAGCATCAGAATATCCTATGCTAGGGAATCTTCTATAGCTAAGGAAAACATGTGGGACTTCATTCTAAATGTTTGGAATAAAACAAGCCATAATAATACAAAAGAGTAATAGTCCAGTAGCACCCTAAAGACTAGCAAAATTTGTAGTAAGGTATGAGCTTTTGTGAGTCACTGTTCAGTTCTTCAGATACTGCTCCCTTTTTCAGGTACTTGAAGAAGTGAGCAGTGACTCACGAAAGCTCATACCCTACACCATAGATTTTGCTAGTCTTTAAGGTGCAACTGGACTCTTACTCTTTTCTACTGCTACAGACAGACTAACATGGCTACCCATTGTGAAGTAACAATAAAGTCATGCATCCCACCTTAGCCTGATCAAAGTTCCTCCATCCTGAGGAAACTGAAGTGGCACGCCCTTTGGATACATGCTGTTGCCTGGCATCCCTAGGAGCTTTGGATGTGAGGCAAGAGGCAGAAATGTTGCATGATGCAGTGATGTCACTTCCTGGTGACAACCAAGAAGTGACATCGGTTTATCAGGCGATGCTCTGGAATTACCCCCAAACACTTGGGAAAATATTGGCGCACTCCCAGATGCGCTGAGATCATGTCCAGGTTTTCACATGGAAATGATGTCAAAACATTACAAATTTTTGTCAATAAATAAAGTAATCATTATTTCTGCCCCCCCCCCATTTTCCCCAACATCCCTGACACAAGGGTGAATGGGAGAGCCAAAATGCCAGGAGGCTGCCCACCTATAGCCGGCAAATGGTAAGCCTTACTGGTAAGCCACTTAAATTGGAGGTAAACTTTTGAAACTTTGCTCAGTGAAGTGATAGGATACAGCTAACACAAATACTTAACAACTAGAAAAATATATTTCATGACTTCGGTAATAAAGAAGGCAAGTACCAATGGAATCCGCTTATTCACAACTAACTACCAGAAGGTTTAGAAGCTAACTGCTGGCTTTTCTGTCTATGAACATTCAAGTGCAGTTTTAATTGAAACTGATCTTCCACTACAGATTTCAAATTAATTCTTTTTCTAAGTGTCTCATGCGCCAGACATCATTGTCTTGCAAAAAGAAAAAAACCCCCATATCATTAGTGGAGGAAATAGAACACTTTATCTAGCTTGCAAGTATCGATTACCTATTCTCTACATCAAAGCACAATTGCCATTCTAGACTATATAAATTTCTTCAGTATGAAGCGTTCTATGAAGTACAGAGAATTATATCACTAATCATTTGCATTTGCACTTGCCTTGGCATATTGATTTTTTTAATACAGAAGGAAGAAGATAAGTATATACTTTATTTAAAGTTTACTTTAAAATAAATGCTTTTTTGCATTTTAAAAAATGACACGAAAAGTGGCATTCAATAAAAGCAAACGGAATTTTAAGGAAGTGACGTCTAATACAGAAGACTATTCATGTTTCTTTTCTTCAGCTGCTAATGTGGCATTAATCAAGTAACATTTGGGATTAAGAAAAAGAAGAACTGAGGGGAAATGGTGCCCCTTCCCCT